CATTGCATGTTCCTCTTGCTTCCCCTGTTACTCTTTTTCCTTCAGCAATTGCTCCTGGCCCCTGTGGGTAGGGTAAGATCAACCTGAATGAATACAGCTGTTTTCATGTATGGATAGATTTTTCAGAAAGACCTTAAACTTCAGAGATTAGTAATGACATTAAAGAATTTTTTTTTTGTTTTTTTTTTGGTTTTTTTTTGTTTTAAAGACATGGATGCAATGATATGAAGCAATGTAGTGTAATGTGAAATCCTTAGTTTTGTAAAGTATGAAAAGAATGCAAATCAGAACTTAAACAAATGAAAAATATACTGAATGTCTTTGAAGATTGTGGACAGGTAGTTTTTGATAGGATCATGCAACACCCACATAATTAGTAATGAATTTGCTTAATGAATCAACCTCACACAACTCCCAAAATGCTAAGTATGGAGCAAGTAAAGCAAAAGCCTCAGGGAATTTAGGGAATCTACAATAATGTAGTGCCTAACCTATGTCCTGTATTCCACAGCACTGATGAAGGAATTTCCTTCTACTCAAAGTGAATTTCATCATTTTGGGTGACTTAATCTTTAAATGAGGCCCTTTGACACTGTCTCATAATGTGAAAAATAGCTGGATATCTAAAGTAACCTAAGTAATTGTTAATTTTCTAAGTGAAGGTTAGAAGGGCAGTTTCATATCAATTTTTTTCTTTATCTTGCATTTCTGGTATTAATCAGCTTGTCCTTTGGCTCAACTGCATGGGCATTAAGAGTAGCCTATCACCATTGCAAATAAATGGAGAAATCAAATAAAAAATCTTTTCCACCTACCTCATATAAGCTCTGTGAGACAAAGACTTTTCTTGGTCACTTATTTCAATAGTGCAATAGAACTTGATTCCCAAATGATTGATAAAAGTAATTCCAGATTAAGAAAGTTTATTAAATTTTTCTCTTAATTCTTTGTCCTTAAAATATGGCATTAGAAATCTGGAGTTCTGAGTGCAGTCAGAGTAATGCACAACTTCATTTAACTCACTGTAAGGGTTCATTGTTTGACTCTGCTATTTCAAAATTACAGCAAATGTCTGATTGTGGATTTATGGATTGTTCTTTATGCCTCTGGAAGAATTCCCCTGTCTCCCTAAACAACACTTTTTTACCCAACTCTTTCATTTTCTCTCCCCCAAGAAATAGCAAGCAGATTAAAAATGTGGCTTTTAAACTATGTGCCAAGCAAACTACTGTGTTATGCCTCTCTTTTTTCTATAACAGAGAGAAAACATTGCAGTTGGAGGTTGAGGAAAGTTATGAAATCCCTGATGTGCAACAATTGTGGGGTAGACAAGTTCAATGGTTTTGCCTGGTCACAAGACACACAATGTAAAAGAGGAACAGCAGTGAAATTATCAGCTGGTGGAGCAGAGCTTTTGGCTAAGACCTCTTCAGAACACTGTAGCACTTCAAGGCCTGACTAAAAAGGCTAATAATATAGTCTACCTGCTTATTATTTACTGTATTGAACCTATTAGCAGCAACAGATTGTCTGACCTGTGCATGGGATTAGTTTCCAGTGGAGCTGTTATATTTCAGACTCCTAAAAGTAAAACCCACTTGACATCTGGGAGAAAAGGGGCAGCAAATATATCACAAAATTTAATGAATGCAAGGGAAGCAAGGGTTCAACTAAAGGTGAAAAATAATCATGTTTTAAATGTCAATGGGTAGTACAGGCTATTACTGTATTGCTTTACTCCTGCTTTTAATAGGGTATCATTGCAATTTTCTGTTAGGTTGCACCAGTGTAAAACTGGGAAACAGAACCCTTAGGCTGCTTTAATTTATAATAGGATATAAATTATTTGGAGCTGAAATTCCATCAGTTCAGTGGCACAGTGTTAAAAAGTTTAAGCTACATCCATGAAAAGTACAGATTTTTCTAACTATGTGCAAATGTTAGTGCTTTTGAGTCTGTATTTGACACTATGTCAGTAACCCATATGAAGAAAAAAGCACAGATCTCCTTGTGCTCAAAATCGAGCCCATCAACACTACCAAACAATTTGACTCTTATTTGCCTCCCTCCTCACAGCTGAGGAGGCTCAGAAACACAGACAAGCAAGCAATTGTCTGTAAATAGAATATAATAGAAGATAATAATGAAAATATGTCTCATTAGCCATTTCCTTGTCCTGGTATGTTCACAACTTTTCCTGGTTTGTATTTCATGACTGATGGCCATGCTCTGGTTACATCCTAAGTGAATTCTACATGGGCCTATTCCAACAGTCTCTGCAATTTAATGACACTTCAGTATTTGATTTAGTCCTGCCAGTTTCTACACCTAACACAGACCTAGATAGACTTTTCAACTCCTCAGAAGAAAGCTTCTATTTTTACAATTTAATTGTGTACTGGTAAAAATATTGCAGGTTGCAGAATATTCCCTTCCTTTGGAGGCTACAAAACACCCATATCCTTCAATATGACTTAATTAAATGACAGCTACACTTAATTAAGGCAAAATTGCATTGGGTAGGATGGTCACCTTCAGTACAAATAAAAATAAATGTTCTGGGACTAAAGAAGAGTCATTCTACTCCTGTTCTTCCAAGCTCTGATGGAAATATAGCCTAACAGGTTAATAGAAGCATTTCTAAACAGTTGGAAGAAATCAGCCACCTGATTCAAGAATTCTGTTCCTTGGTTAACTTCCTATTCAGCTACTGAAAACTTGATTTTCCCATCTGTGAGGTGACAAAATGGAATGAAAACAGTATTAATATTTATGTTCCAAATAAAAAGGCTTTCAAGGCATGTTCATAAAGTGGAAAATAAAAGCACCAGTTTATCCAAAACTTTCTGCCCTTTTGCAAAGTTAAAATTTATCTTCCTTTCTGCCAGGATTTGTTGGTTTAAGAGCAAGCAATCATATTTTATAGAAGTTATTAATATAGGTGAACTTCTATATCATTGAATGTTCTCTATTATGTGGATTAGTTAATTACAACTACAGTTCATACTGTTATGGGTATTTATTCCAAAATTGCCCACAGGTGGGAAAAAAATATGTTTACTGAGTCTGGTTGAAATGTTTTGTGATTGCAATGTTTATATCCTACATAAAGATCATTCAACTGAATGTGTGTGCATGTGAACTCATCCCAGAGGTACCAATAAAAATTATATCCATATGAAAATACAGTGAACTTCTTTTTCTTTCATAAGAGACTCATTTCTAATTAATCATGTTGCCTTCTTATGAATAAAATCCAGTAAAACTTGACAATCATTAGAGGCAGCTGATGGAAAATTAAACATTTTGTTTGAAACAATTTCTTAAATCCTTATGCCAGGAATTGCTTCCTTGTACTGTGGCCTGCCAATACTTCCCACTTTGCTGCTATATGCTCCACAGAGGTTATATCCAAATGTCCAGCTGCTAAGACTGCATGGCCTGCACTCCAGTGATCTGCACTTACCACTGAGAGCAGGAAAAAAGGACAAAATGTTTTCCTCACATTCTTGTAACAGCAACTGTCACCCCAGGATACATTTATCATTACTGATATTCTTATATTGGTTTCCAGTTCAAAAGAGGAAAATCCTTCAGACAAAAGCACAGGCCCACTGCAGGAACTGACTCTCCAGGCAGTACAAGCACAAGATAATAAAATATTTGGACATTTTAATTCAAGTATACCTAACTGCTCAAAAGTAGTGACAGGTACTTCTGTGCAAAACCTGACACTAGTTTTTCCTTTTTGCATATTGAAAAAACCCACCACAACTGCAAGCAGCACAAGGCAGAAAAATCCCAACCCTCTGCTTGCAGGTTTCATGCACAGAATAGGGTACAGTAGAGAAAATTCAGGAAAGTCCTGAAAGTTATGAAATTATGTTGGATTTCTTTCAGAAGATTGATCGACGAGAAAGGAGTCGTGGAGTGTGTGTCTCTCACTTTGGGATGGAAAGAGTGAAAGATTTGGGTTTGATTTTTTTATGATGGGTGTCAGCAGAGATGCTCTGACACCTTACTGGAAAAACTACCTGCCCTTTCTTTAACTGGATTACTAAACCTATTCTTATTTAACTTGTAATGTATTGCCAGCAATGAAGATAAGAAGGGTTACTTGTGTTTATGGACATGAAAAAGAAAGTCTGTGGCTAATCAAGGAACTGGGATTTGCAAAAATTATCTCTGAAATATTAATTTTTCCAGCAGTTCTTTGGGTTGTCTGGATTTGTGCAATGGACAACAGACTCACTGCCCAAGTGGTGGATGTTGTTTTCATAAAGAATTCATTTTTTACTGCTGTGACTTGGCACCATCATGTGGCCACTTTGAGTTTTCTCAACTTAAGTGAAAATTTACACAGAAAAGCATTTGCAATTAATTAATTTAAACTTAAAAATATTTTAATCTATTTCAGAAGGAGAAGGTACATATCTTAAATATATCTGTTCACTAAATACTGAATACATTTTCTGTCAATTGTCCTTTTTTTTCCCAAAATCTGAGCTTGTTTAATCAAGGTTTTACTCATGTCCAACCCTTACCAAGAGTGTACAAAAATTAATATCCTATTTTAGACAGCTATCCTCTTCCTCACTACAAGAGCATTGGAAATTATTTGCAGAATTAAACAGGTAAGTACTTTCTGTTTTATGTCAGAAATCCCAACAGATTTAGAATTTCAGTAAATCTCCCAGGCACATTGTTCACATAGATCAATCCAAACAGGGAGTGTACACCTCAGAACCTGAGTTAGTCAGGTATTCCTTTTGCACCGTTTCAGAGTCAAAATCAGAAGATAGATATGTGTGATGTAATTTGTGTTTTGATATGTTTGCATATGGTCTTTAGGCAGACACAAGAAATTTTTGCTAAGCATTAATGTTTAAGAGGCCCAGGGGTGGAAATCTCCTCACACTCAGGTTGTACAGAAACACAACTTTATGTTTGCCAAAGAATTGCTGTGATTTCTTTCAGAGTGAAATAAGGAGAAACAACAGTGCAATTTATAGGAATGCATTTTTGCTATTTTTTAAAAATATATGTACATCTAGAGTACTTTCAGTAATTGAAACACAATCAACATATTTTTGAGTACAGTAATGATAAATTTGATTCTGTCATTTTTATGATAAAATATATTGTTTCAGTTGAAATATTGTATTGATAGCCTTTAGAATATACAGAAGTTACATACAAATTACATTAAATTTTTTAATTGAAGTAAAAAATAAACTATACATTTTGCAATCAACTGTACAACCCTGTTTCTAAAAAGACTGCAATAAAATAGAATACAGTTTGTCAGATTCCTCAGGCTGAGGTAATGCCCACTTCTTCTTTACATACTGAATTTCTATCTGCCCAGTTTCCTTGGCCAGCACAATTCCTAACAATCCATTTGCTTTTTCTGGCTCTCCCAGCAGAGTCATAGTTACAGCCCTGAAATCAAAATAACAAGGAAGTGGTTTTTAATTGAGGGAAAATACACAGAAATTGGTGCTTTCAATCATATTTGTATCAGGTTACCTACAGTCAACTAAATGATTCTTGTTTTCTGCTCAAGCCCCAGTGTGCTCCTTAGCTTTTCACCAGTGGAGACCATTTAATGTAAATATAACTTGCATATCTTCCCCCATGCATTTAATCATTAATTTCTAATCCTGTTTTAAATTATTTCAAGTTTTCAAAAATGAACAATGTTTGATGGCATTTTCCAGTACAGTGTAATAAATTTAAAATTTAAGTAATTTAAAATGTTAAAAATTTAAAAATTGTAGTAACTTCTCCAATGTGTTGCTACAGTTAACAAAGATTCAAGGAAAACCTTTAGTTAGAGGGATATTCAGCAAGGCAAACTTCAGCCTAGAGAAGACAGTCAAAATTTAGCACACTGTAGTTTGTTTCCACACCTTCAGTAGTTCACAATATAACAGTTAGAAAAGCAAATTCTAATGATCATTCAAAATCAAGCAAAAAAACCCAAGTAACAATATCAATATTTTGTTAAAAAGAGAGCCCTTACCTCTCTGATGGGATAGTCTGCTTGGCCACAGGCACCAAATCATTTTCCAGAAGATCCCAAATGTAAATATTGGATGATGCATCCAGGGCAAAGAACACAGCAGGTCTTGTCAAAGCCCACTGCAGGGCAATAATTGGCTGGCCCTTTGTGCTGTCATTCCACTGCATGAGGGGATACTCTGATGTCATCTGGTGTAATCTAATACTTCCATCTGAACAGCCAACCTACACCACAGATAAAAAGAAAATACTTTCTGGAACAAAACTAACTAAGCAAGATATAAGAAGTGGTGTTTAGGTACATTGCTTACTGGTGGACTTGGCAGTGATAGGTTAAGGGTTGGACTTGATCATCTTGGGGGTCTTTTCCTGTGGATATTCTCAGTTCAGTCAGAGAGAAAAAGAGAAAGATTTCTGCCAGGCTGAGCCTGGGAAAATGTCCAAGAAGAATGTAAACAATCTATTATATTATTTTCCTTTCATATTGTTTATAGATATGTTCTATCACACTAAGTCCAGTGTACCAATCAAGTGAAATGTTTTTACTTTAAGACCAATGGAATTAATGTTCACAATGTTCTCTATAAAAGAGAGAAGTGCTTTTGAATAAACATTCATTTGCCTTCTGAAATCATACCTGTCCCTGGCTCAACAGCATGATTTTCCAACCTAAATTATCCTAATATTCTATGTGTTGTTTTTGTTTTTTTTTGTCATCCTTCATGACAGATCTGAATTAGTGAGGTAAATCTACTAACATATCTATTAAATACATAAAATTAGAACTATTCCCTCAGCAAGTAATTAAAAATGAAACTTCCATTAAAACATTTTCATACCAAAAACAGTGGCTTTCCAAAAGGGAAGAAATCAATTGCAGTGATGCTTATGGATCTCAGTCTGCTCTCCTGGGGCCTGAATAGCTTTGGAACAACTTTTAAATCATGCCTTGTACCATGGCCTACCAGACCCTATGAACAATACAAAGAAAATTATTTAAACAAAACAAAAAAAGTTGCATTATTGGTATTACAGGAAAGAGTTAAATAATTAATGAGCTGATACTTTAATAGATCCTTACTAGCTAACAAATTTTAATAGCTAACAGACTTAAATAATATAGGCTCAAATTAGAGATTTTATACAGTCTACTGGTAAAATCCCAACTAAATGAGACAGATTCAAAACTAAAAAACTAACAACGAGATTAATTCCAGGATGGTACTCACAATGTTTGTTCCAACAATGAAGTGATTTGGATTAGAAGACAGAAATTTAATAGTCAGTGTCTGTGGCATTCTCTGGCTAATTTCCTTTGGGAAAAGGCTGAGGAAAATGGCAAAGGCAAAAGATGACATTAACACAGGGAACTGTCTCCTAAAGCTGTGCAAGTACATACAGAAATTCTGTATCTAAGATGTCTATGACTAGATCTAAGAAGAAATGTGTGTTAAAAAACCCCACAAACATGTTAAATGTTAAATATATTAAATATATCTTATGTAACAGCAAATTAGTAAAGGTAAAAATAGCTTTGTGAGATAACATATGTAAAATTTAAATGCTCCAGTTTTCCTACCTCTTACTCAATTCCATAGTAGAGCTATGTACTAACTTCACTTTCCCTCCAGGAACTAAGCCTAAAATTATAAAAAATTATTATTTGAACTGATTTAACCACTTTGCATTAAAAAAGCACAATCAATAAATTAAATAGTAAGTTAATAAGTAAAAGGATATTTCATAATTAGTTTACTGCAGATACAGCCTTTGACATAAAAATCTTAAATAATTCAGAGCTATTTACTTCAGAATTCAAATCTGAAGAGTTATGATCTTTGACAGAAATAGAAACAGTTACACATTGCTTTTTCTCTCTGTAAAACTCAATTCTAGAAATGGTTAAAGCACACATTTATGTTACTTGGATTTTTGACAATGAATTACAGGTATGAGATAGTACAATAATACATCCACGAAGTTGGTCTGTGTTACTTGTTAGCAGAGAACAATGCAAATAATGTAAATCCTCCAAAGACAAAAATTTTTTGAAGAGGAAAAAATTTTACTGCTGGTTGCAGTTAAAATGTGTCAACACATGACCACAGGTTTAAAATGTACCTCTCCACAGACATAATACCCAGCTTTAGCAGCTTTATATAGTCTGACATTGTACATGAGCTTATAGAAACTGATCAAAAATTCTACTTTTCTGGCATTACTTCATTGTTTATTTATGTATTTTCAAATGTAAAAGGATTTTAGTCACAGCCTTTTCCAGTTAGGTAAGCATGTAAGTGTAAATTTGTTCAAAGAACAAAGAATGCAATTTTCTCCATTTACATAACTCAAAAAGGGCTGAATGGACTTGGTTCTTCAGTGTTTTCACAGAAATTTTTTCTCATGCTAAATTAAGTATCTTATCTAAAAAAGAGCTTTCAGGACAATTTTCAAAAAGGAGACACAGGCAAAAACAAAAGCACTATAACAGGTTTGGTTAAAACTAAAGGATGACCAAAGACATAAGAATTGCACATTCTTTGAAAAATAAAAACAAACTGTTGACAACTACTCTGGCACTGTAAGAAATGTGGTTGTCTAGTGGCAATTAGCAATACACAATTAGCAGAAAAGATTTAGCACTGAAAATAACTCTCCTACCTAACCAATAACCCCGAACATCAGATATGAACTACTCAGAATTAATATTTTCTTCAGTAATTTTGCCTTCTTCTAAACTACTTCTTGCCATCACTGACTCTTCCTCTCTCTTTTAACTTCATAGTGTCAAAACTGGAGCATTTTATTCTACTTCTAACAGTAGTACAGTACTCACCTAAGTCAGTTTGTGAACCAGCTAGATCTGCTTTTTGCAATTCAACAACTACCTGAAAAGTCAATATTTAACATTAATAAACAATCAATATTTACCAGGCTTCAAAGTTGTAATAGTAAGCAATAACTCTAAGGGACTGTTAGGAGAGGCAGGTCTAACATTACAATGATTACAGGTAGATTCCCTGTCAATGCCTGCAATTCTAAAAATAGCTTCACATGCCTGCTGGATGTTCCCTGATGGAAAGCAGAACATGGAAAGCTACATTCTACACTTAATTGCTAGTTGGCATCTTGTTGGCTTGGTCAGTCACTAAAAAACCCACCCTAAACAAGGAATTGTAACACATTTCCTGTGCTTTCCCATACATGAAGAAAATGAACTATACACAAACTATACATAAAATAAAAAGGGCCTGAACCTGTTGTTCATTTGGCCTGAATCTGTTGCTACTAAAGTTACTAAATTAACTACAGCTAAGGCTTTAAGGAACTTAAATACTGACATGGAGGTGAAATACTTTTATCCCTTATTTTTCACAGGTTCAGCAGCTGGGCCAAAGCTGCATCAGGTAAAAAGCCACTTGAAACTTGTGATAGAAGATTTGTCAGGACAGTAATTAAGAGCAGAGGACCTAGTGCTTTCATAACCATCATATTTTAGTCAAGGAAATCTTATCCTTTGATTTTCACTTTTTATCTCTTTAACATTTGTTTTATATGAATTAGGAATTTAACTTCTCCCCTACATTCAGTATAATCTCTGACACCACTGTGATTTTAAAATTAAAGTAGGTGAGTGAAAGATGACTGAGGACTATTAATCAAGTATTGGAAATATGTGAACATATTTTTATGAAGTAAAACAATTGATTGCCTTTTTTCATGAATTCATGTACCTGTTAATACTTTTGCCTAAAGATAACATTTGGGAATCAGATCAAAACTTTTAAGGAGAATTCCAACAGAACGGTTAGTGTTGCTATATTTTTCAGGGAGGCAATTCTTCTAAGAAATTCTGAATTTGGGTTGCTGTATTTGAAGTATTTTATTACACATTATACTCTCTCTTTTCATGCATACTCACCCACATATTGAGGATTCCATTTTCATCCATTGAAGCTATCTGAAATGTAGGGCCTGACATTTCTATGGAAGGAATGGCAACAATTTATATTCATAGACTGACCTTCCTCCTGAACAATAGCAAAGGATTTGAAACTTTTCCTACATTAATACATCCTCTGAAAAGTCTGCAATCTTCTCTGCTGCATAAAAAGGGAAAGTGCCCTAATTCTATCAAAGGGAAAAAAAGTAATGAAATTTTCTTTACTGACAGGGTGGTCAAATACTGGAGAAGGCTTCCTAGAGAGGTGGTCAATGTCCCAGCCTGACAGTGTTGAAGAAGCATTTGCAGAATGCCCTTAATTTTAACTTGGTCAGCCCCAAACTGATCAGGGAGTTGGACTGGGTGATCCTTGTAGGACCCTTGCAACTCAAACACTCTGTTCTACATGGTCTAGTCTGGTCTATTCCAGCATTTGCAGCCTGTCCTACCAGAAAGGCAAATGATCTCAGTCTGCATCTTTTTTAAAATGTCTGGATTCTGTGTGGACTTTGGAAGGGAATATAAAGTGAAACAGATGGAATCTTGTAAAACCTGCAATAGGCAGCACATTTCTTCAAACCGCTATGGATTTTAAAGTACAAATGTGTAATGGAAGTGATAATGTCTTCCCTAGCACACTGTCTGAGAATTTGAGGATGTGAGGATTAGAGTTTCTTTGCAAAGGTTGGTCATAAAAAGAACAGGCAAAAGGCACAGGAAAAACCACTAGTTACAGCCACACATTTCAAGTGCTTTCAGATATTAGCAAGGTTCTCCACTGACTCAGACAGGGATTTTTTTGGACATTAGAGAAGCATTAAGACTCTTCCAAACACAGTTTTTGAGTGATAACTTGTTTTATCATGGAAATATAGTCTAGAAAGCAGACTTTATAACAAGCACACAACCACATCTGATGTGAAGCTGCACTGAACGAACATTACATAAAAATAAGAGCAGAAAACAAACATGAATATTGAGTGCAATTGATACTACAAACAACTTAAGAGGCAGACTGCGATTATAAACTGGATTTTGGCTATGATATATTTTTTTCACTAGATAACTAAAGAAAGACTCAGATGTATTGATGCTTAGAAAAGCAGTTTACATACCCTCCTGATAAGACAGGCTTGAGAGCCCATAACTGTGGTCACTGTTGAGAGAAGTTGAGACAGGTTCCAGTGCCAGTATAGGAGAGGTGTGGTTTACTGAGTTTAGAATGCCATCTGTAAATGAGGATAATGAAAGTTAGTACTTTCCACAAAAACCCAACAAAATCTTAATCACTTTTCAGTTTATGGGAGAATGATAATTACAAAGAAAGAATGGTGAATAATGAACTCTGCACAACTCTCAAATACAATACTGCAAACTGCTAAATTAAAAAAATACTACTAGATAAATCAGTGTTTCAATATTTCTATTCACTTCTCATTTTCCAAATTACTGATGTACCATTTATGCCACTGTACCAGACATTTCATTAAAATCTGCCATTTTAGGGTTAGCATGGAAAGGATTACTTCAAGCTCCATAAACAGCAGGGGTAGAAATAAATCACTGTGTACTATAAAAGAAGACAAAATTGAAGAAAAGTTACTCTTAGTAGAAAGTATCCTGAAAAATCCTGAAACAAAGTATTCACCAAAAGAGAATATGTTATTTAATAACATTTTAAGGCTAATGAGTGTTTCAAGTAATTTCTGGACTTGCCCTGTGCACTGAACTTAATCTCATTTAAGACCGAAAGCATTGAAGCTTCCTAAGTATCCAGCATTAAACCTGTCTGCTTATATAGCAACTACATGAAACTGTACACATCCATTTGACTACCAGTGTGCAACACAAGACATCAAGCATCTTTGACCTACTAAAAAAATTAAAAGTCTATCTACAACCAACTATTGTTTACTTTTACATGGCTGCTGCAATTAGCAACACTTGTGAAGAAAGAGGATTCTGTAAATGTGTGTAGTGAGGTGTTTTAGAAAAATAATAGTACAACAGCCAAAGTTAAATCAGAAAATCATACCATGGTTTGGACTGGAAGGGATATTAAAGATCATCTGATTCCAACCCCCAGCTGTGGGCAGGGACACCTTGTGCTGGACCAGGTTGCTCAGAGCCCCATCCAGCCTGGCCTAGAACATTACCAGGGATGGGGCATCTACAACTTCTGTGGGCAGCCTGTGTCAGTGCCTCACGCCTCCCACAGGAAAAAATGTCTTCCTAATAACTAACCTAAACCTACACTCCTAATAAAATTATTTACAAAACTATTGCTGTATGTTATTCTTCACTCTAGGATGCCTTGCATGAACATTACAGAAACATCAAGATTTAGGTGACAATTTCACTGTGCACAAAGTAGCTGACCAGGATGCACAGATGCTCACCTGTGGAAAATGTGGGAACTCTAAATGTCCACTCAGTTCCAGTGATCATCATACAAAGGTGCATTTTTGAGTCTTCTCGAAGATCCCACACCAACAATGAACCATCTACTGTTCCAGCAAAAACTAATGTTGCTTTACTGGGACTAAAGCAGCAACATATCACCTGTAAAACAGTAAAAGCATGCAGGGTTGATATTATTATAAAGATCAATGGTTTCATGAGCCTGAAATAGGTTTGTTAACATGGAAACCCAGAAAATACAGATTACACATGTTTATGGCAGAAGGGAAATCTATTATTTTAAAAGTGAAGTAGGATACAAGACTTTCAGTAGGCCTTCCCTTTTCAAAACAATCCTTGTGTAATCTGCATCTACTCTCACAAAGCTGAAAGAGGTGACTCAGCTGTATGGGAATGATGAGCAGAGAGAAGTCCTAACAACATCCGAAGCAGATGTTTACTTCTATTCACTCTTCAACCATGAAATAGGGTCAAAATTAAACAATCAAAACTACCAACAAAACAACATGACCATCACTACAAACTGGTTCTGGAGCACAGAATAGAACAAGAACAGTCTTTGTTCACTAGGCTCAAGTATATGTAAAGAAGATAGAAGATGGCATATTTTGTAGTAAGACAAAAGTAAAAATAAATTTTTTTAATACAGTCCTGTAATTGATGGAAAAATATACAATGTTATTAAAGCATACCTCTGAATCACATATTAAAATTTTCTGAGGACTGGAGGGCTGCCAGATGTTCCAAACACATATAAGGCTCTTTCTGCTCAGCAAATCCACATCTGCCTTTTCAGGTAATCCATGAGCAGAAAGTAGTGTCTGCCTCTGAACTTGGGAGACATATAAGTAGGGTATTTTTCGGCCTAAACGAAAATTAAAAAAAAAAAAAAAAGCCAAGAAAAAAAAAAAAATAAAAAAAAAAAAAAAAGCCAAGAAAGAAAAGCAATAAATGAAAAAGCATATTCAATGCAGATGAAAAAGCATATTCAGCTACTATAGCAACAAACAAACTAAGATGCAATTATGAAGAATATTTCTATTAACACTGTGTTTCTTTTGAAGCTATACAATAAAAAAGTAGAGACTAGAGAAGGAATTCAAAATACTAGAAGTAGAAAGTAAAAAGGAAGAGAGTCGGGAAATTAATAGAATAATTATTCTGGGCATAAGCAAGCCAATCTGATCTGATGTCAATATATACACTGAAAATTAATCGAAGTCTCAAAGGGGAAACAGCACAGGCCAGGCTTTTTTGGTTTTAGTTTTATCTACACATATTCATATTAGATGACACAGGGTTCTGTGTTATAATAGCCCTTACTTGCATAATTACAGATGCTCTATTTTTCACTTTTCATCTGAACAGCTACTGTTTATATGGAGAAGATATAATTGCTTTACAAATATATCAGGCTACAGTGTCCCTGTTGAATAACCTGCCTTTATTTGTAACTTTGGCTCTATTGTCAGCATAAAGAGCCCAAACAAAAATTACACCCCTTGGGATGGCCTTTCAACAACAGGAACAAGAAATTACACCCATCATGTTAATTGTTGGCTTTATTTCTGGTAGGAATAGATGGAATATATTTCTTGTAAGATGCTTACAAGTCTGCACAGAGTTCCAGCAATATTAGTGCAATTAAAAGGAAAGTGGGGTTTACATCATCTGTATATCCTGATATGTGCTGTTTGCAGAGTAATGACAAAGAACATGGCACTTTGCATAAGAAAGAAGAAATCATTCTGTACACTAAAAAGTGTAGAATAAGAGATCATTCTGTACACTAAAAAGTGTAGAATAAAGTTCCCTTACCATGGAGGAATGGCTGGTTAGTATTTAACTGGAAACAGCTATCACTAATAGACAGACTGGTTTGTCGAGATCTTAGTTTCCTGGGCTGTGTTGCAACTTGATCTTCCTCTAGCAAAACAGCAATCACCTTTCAAACATAATTACATTTATAGAAATAAAAGGGTCATCTTATCTTCCAGCTTTGCTATTATTGTAGCTTTCTAAAGTTATGTGGATTAATTTCATAAAACTTTATCAACTGTCTTGTTAATTTTGTAACTTTGCAAATACAGCTTTACAGACATAAAAGTTGCACATCTCTGATTCCATTTCTTTGCAGAGAGATTATTCTCTTTGATAACAAGTATTATTTAAGTAATTCATTTAAAATAGAACAAGAACTGTAAGTGATTTATCACACAGCTCATAAGGGATATTAAAGATATATAAGCGTACCTGGCATGCAGACCGGAGAAAATTTGCTAATCTTTGTGAGTCAATTTTAGGTGTTGGAGCTCCATGCACTGATGTATCCTGGCTGTTTATGGGACCTATGAAAAACAGATAAACAAAAACAAACAAACAAACAAAAAAAAACAACAACAAAAAANAAAAAAAAAAAAAAAAAAAAAAAAAAAAAAAAAAAAAAAAAAAAAAAAAAAAAAAAAAAAAAAAAAAAAAAAAAAACAAACAAACAAAAAAAAACCAAACCTGAGGCTTCAAAAGAGAATCAGTTAATAAAAGTGTAAGGACAATTTCATTTTTAAGCAAGAGGAGAGTGGCAGGAATCAATTTATCTTCTGTACAAATAACAGCGTTGAAGGACAAGATCTGTTGTTGCTGCCAATAGAAACATCAAGCCAGAAGGAAAAATTATTTCTGCTACTTATTTTTCATACTTTCCACATGAGGATTCAGAGTGCCTATGTCAGCTTGCTATCAATGCAGCCTGCCACTCTATAGATTCTCACAAGTAATGGATACCAAAGAGAAGGTTTATATGACATGCACTCATCCATGAGTGAATAAGATGAAAATGTTCTTCACCTCCAGATACAAGAGCACTTTCTCCTGGATGCTGTGTCCATTTCTCCAGTGTCTCAACTTCCTCAGTCTGAATGTCTCTATCAAGATTGTCCTCATTACACTGAACATATGCCTAAAGTAGAAAGATTAAATTATCAATATATGGGGTGAGACAGCTAAGACTGACAGCACATAACTGAATAGAACTTAGTAATTTTAAAACTCTTCTGTTTGTGAATTTCAGATCTAAGCATACTGACACACTGTCACTATTTCATGCATGCACATTTTACCACATTTCACACCAGAGTGCTAAATAAATAATATTGTAAAAATACAGAATGCCTTCCATGATGTGTAAACATCAAACCCAGCATATTTGGGGACACTGAGTCACAGACAGGTGAAAAGCCCTTTAGAAAATGGGGAAGGAAAATGAGAGTCATCTTCTAATACAGAAAGGAAATTGCCTATCTGGCCAAAAGTTCTGAGGTCGTTGCTTTATTGTAATTGAGGCTTAGAGATGAATATGATTAATTTATTACTTTATGTCCTGGTAGCTTTAGCTACTTTATTTTTTAAGGACAATTCTTTTCCAGAAGGAAAATCCAGCTTTTGAGGATTGAAACATTCCTAGGTGTTTGTTACGCACCTGCTTAGTGTTCATTTTACCAAAATTCCTGATGTACATGTCGTACTCATTGACAGGGGGCAAATCCAGTAATGAAAAACTAACTGAGAAATCCAGGTCAATTAGTGGGAGAAGTTCAGAACTCCGTTTTCTTCAGGATTAATTACAAGAGAGAAACAGAAAAATGGTTAAGAACAAACATTTGGGATTTCTAAAGAAAGACAACCTGATTTTGCATCTAAACAATCCTTTAATCTATGGGAATTGAAGTTGTACCAAAATTAATTAGCAGATAAAAATGTAACAATAGAAATACATAGACTATTGTTTAGAGTTTTCATTCAATTTTACATTGAGATAATGATCATATTTGAAAATGCAATACTAATTGCAAATGGAAAACTTCAAATGGTTTATTACTAAAGCCAAATTATCAAAAGCTCAGCAGATCATCTTGCCTAAGTATTCCAAAGCTGTTCTATGAGGCAACAGATGAATGGCTCTTTCTTCTATAGCGAAGACAGTGGCTAATTCTCCTAAACTCATTTTATTAACTCACATCACTCATATGTGTACATGCTTCATAAAGATCTTCCATGATGTCCTAGCTTTGTTACACATATGCAGGAAAAGATTGCAAGTCCTTGTCACAATTGACCCAACTATCTATCTACTTTAATGTCATAAAGCTGTTAATATATTTCATTTCTGGAGTGAACTGCTTGAATTACACAAAGATGTCTGCTTACAAGTCAATTCCAGGCTCTTGCTGTAGTACAGTCTTTGACAATTAGATAATTTTGCAGTCTCCCTTTCTCTCTCTTGCAGGTTTTTCATGTACTTAAAAGTGATACATAAAGACAAACCAGATATAATTATGGATCTATAGCAATTCTATATCTAGACACTCTTGGAGATGCATGTTCTAGTTACAGCTTCTTGCTGAGGCAAGACGGTATTAGAAAAGGAAAAATACTAGAGTATCAAGAGCTAGAATTTTATCAGTATTTTAGAGTGACTTTTTCTTTATGCATAAGGACAATTTTCACATCTCCTTTTTCGTACTTGATGACATCTATTGCATATTCTTACACATATTTTACTTTAACTTGTGCTTCCTAATGTATCATCTCTTCAAAAACATGGGCACAGATTGCAGAGATATAACTCAAACATAAGAAACTTGCTTACTAGTTACAAATCTGAATGATACAGGCAGAGAAATCTTAAAATAAACTAATAAGCTTGCATTTATAATTTACAACTCCCAAGTGCCACAACTTATTTATGGGATGCTTTCAGTCTATTTACTGGCAGTAATGTATTATCACAACATTAAATTCCACAACCCCTTCCTCTTCCCATGAAAATGCTCATTATCTTCACAGGCTATGTATGCTGTTAGCATGCACACAGAGTTATAAACATAGTCAATCAGTCATGGTACTTAATCATCAGAGGCTGACAAACATTCCAGAAGTCAACTCTCCAGAGATGCTTTTCTGAGTTTCTTAATCTGTCTCTACAGTCTAGAGAGGAAGCCTAGACAATGAACTTGTGTAACATTTGAGTATATAATTTTAGGCAATGTGAATTAAATAACTTAGACAATAAAATCTCCCTTATGTGAAAATTAGCCACTGATGTAAAGCCATGAAACACTGGAATCTGGTATTAACAATAACATTTAATAATCTTGCTTTATGCATCCAAACATTGTAAAGAATGTTGGAGATATATACAGTGCTTCAGACAAATCTAGAGCTTCTGTCAAGTTCCACAAAAAAACAGGCATCAATTTGTTTCTGTAAAAGACAGAGATGTCTCAGGTATCTCAAATCTAGATCAATAATAGCATGTTTTTACAGCAATCAATGTAAAAACAACAAACATGCCCTGAAAGGGGATGTGCTATTTAATAGCACATTCCTGAAAGGGAACGTGCTCTTTTGACAGCTTTATGCACAATATATTCTTGATTATTTCAATAAGTTACATTTCTGCAGAGACCTAATGGTAGTTAAAAGGCTTGCTTTTTAGTACTTTAAGTCAATATCTAATTAAATGACTGAAGTATTAAACAAAGAAATTACAATCCTGGCAACATGTTCTGAAATAAAATGATGCACATAAACTGATATATAGATACATTTGTCTTATAAAATGACTTGTAGCAATACCTGTAAATTATACACACTTAAGAACTAATTACTGCTAGTTAATAAAATACTTGATTCCATAAGACTCAAGTTTATTAAGTATCACATATTTCAATTAAAATAATGAAAATAAAATTAGAATAATGAAAAAATGAATTTTCAATGAAAATAACAAAAAATTGCTGTATCTCACATAGTGAGCTGTCATTTTTGTGGATTATTTAAAATACACTTACTTCTGCTTACTGGCCATACTTCGGCTGCTTTGTCTTTGGTTTGCCATTTGGAAATCCATGAATATTCCACAAAAAGAGCTTCTGACAGAAGAATCTTGCCTTTCTGTGATATTGTAAAACACTGTGTTACAGTTCACACTTAAAAGTGTATGAAAATGTTAAGCAGTAAATCTAAAAAGCAGCAGATTTGTTACAACACAGCTACTAAAAGTTCCTGTTTCACATGTTACACAAAGTGCTCTATCACCATTTTCAGTACAATGAGTTTAACATCAGTAATGGGCCAGCATGTGGTCCTTAAAATGGTTCTTTATCAACCTATTCAAAATGACTGACCATTGTAATTTTTACTTTAGAAGACTGATGCTGAAAGTGTCTCTTTGTGTTGCCATCAGCAGGTGCTTTGTTCCCTTGTGTACAGTGAAACATTCTGTCATCAATTCTAAAGATTGCACTAAATTCACACAGACTTCACCATGTGCACACTACATCTCGGTAAGAACTCAGGTAGAGGAGAGCCTCATCAACACAGGCTTAATTAATATCCTTAGATTAATAAGGAAAACACTGAAACTTCCTTGAAAAGCCACAGTTAACAGACCAACTACAGCAACTGATGTGATGTCTACCTTACTCCCTTTCCTGGCTAGGTTGTAGCTAGTTGACCTTAAGATCCAACTTCCAGTCAGGACTACTGGTGCTTCACTTCCTCAAAGGATGACTACCTTTTTAGGCAATACTTGCAAAATGCTTTTTAACTTACAAAAATAATTGCCAGACTGATACATCACCATTTTAAGCAAACAAGAACAAAAGTTCATCAAAAAAAGAATGTGTTGAGTAATTAAGAATAAACCACGAAGTGCTACAATTCTGAAAGTGAAAAATATTTATCAAGTTTGTATTGTTCATAAGAAAAATAATAATTGCATAAATATTCTGCAAGAAGAAATTCACATTACAGTATGCTGGTTCCTGCTGCAATGACCATTAACTGAAAATCTATTGACAGAATCAGAGACTCTTCTAGGCTGGAAAAGACTTTTAAGAGATACTGTAAAGACTTATAGAAACTCCATGTTATCCTTCCATGACTGTACTATGAACCAGACTAAAAAGCTATTTAATATTCTTTTGCTCAATGATTCTGTGTGGTTGTTCACTTCAGTGTAGACCTCAAAGGAGAACCACAACCGTACTTAAATAAGCAGCTCTGGCACTCACAGGTTTCAGATCAACTGAATGCCAGACATTTCAGAAAGAGCTTGCATTTAATAGTGATAAAGTGCTATATATTTGAGTAGTATTGATATTTTTCTTGCTTTCTCTCCAGAACAGTTGCTTCAACTTTGCTTAAAAGTAAAAGGTGAATTTAATGCCAGTGGAAGCCCCACACTGTTTCAGCACTCCTCAAGTTTTCAAAATCCAGACTCTCATATGCTCCTCTTACTCAAAATAAGATGTACTAAATGTCAGTCTGTACTTTTTATATTTCACAATTTAAATTATTAGTAATGCCTATGAATCATTTAGTAATGGGGACGTTACAGTGCTTACCACAAATCTACATGATTCATACAGAGGACCAGATTTTGGTCTTTAGGCAGAATGTTAGAAAAAGTGGCCAGCTGACTTGTAAGTTGTATGTGTTACTCATACATTTAATAAAAAAAGGCTGGTATCTAGTAACATACCTATGTCTGCTTCCTTTTTTTCATTTTCTAGTTTCTTTGGCAATGGAGTAAAAATTCTCTCATTCTCTGCAGTAATTGCTCTTTGAAGTTCTTCAATTTCTGATGTTCTGGAAAATTGAACATCTCTTAGGTTTTCTTCTGCATCTCCTGCTTCACCACTTTTGTCTTCATCATCTTCAAAATCATCTTCATAGACCTTTGAAAGTAACAGAACTTCCAATATTTGGTAAACCCAGACTATAGATGCATTTTTCAAGATCTTTTACAGAAATTATAAAATTTCAAAATAAAAACCTCATAGAGATATCTATAAATCCTCTGATGGAAAGGCATTCTAAAATAACTGATGGAAAGAAAACAGCATCTCTTGATTCTGCAGTAATTTTAATGAAGAGAAGATAATCTCAGTGTTGTTCTACAGTGCCCAAAATAGTCTTTTAATATCCTAAAGTCTTTTAATATCCTATATAATATCCTAAAATAGATACTGTAAGTTTAGATGAATTATATGTTCTTTGAAAAAATAAAATAAGAGTGTTCAGTGGCATAAATGTTTCAGGGATGTATGATGTTGTTTATTTGACAGTTTTAATTCAAGCTGTCCTTTAATGTCAGGCTCACATTTACTAAACTGCCACACTCCCTGTCTATGCCTAAGGGTCAGCCTTTAACAAATTCTCCAAACTAAGACAGTTAATGTCATGCTAAAATATTCACCTAACACATATGGTATGAAAAGTCTTAAATGTGCTTATTTCTTATCACTGAATAGTAAAGGACTACTGCAGTGACCAGCTCAACAGTGGAAATCATCACTCCTGACATGACTGGAGATGAATTCTACCTCACTGAACAAAGATGATTCTAGTTCAGCTCAAGAAAAGCACATGCCACAAACTCTTATATCTTTAAAGTAGACAAAAGACAGCTAAAAATAGGGAATTCAATTAAACAAATTAGTGAAGTGAATGCTGTGTGTCAATACCTTTTTTCCATTATCTTTTTTCAATGATAAATGAACAGCTTTTTTATTTTTTATCTGAAATTATTAGCTCTGATTATTTAAATAATTCAGCATTCTTCACAGAAAGTTACTTAAATAATTGAAATCCACAAAAAAAGAGAAAACATTTTTAAATACTTCAACTGAAAAAACAGAAGTTGGTTCCCAACCTCTGATGAAAACTAACTAAATATATAGTATAGAGTTTCTACATAACATTTTAATTATTCACTGTCTACTGTTAGCTACATTAAGGTTACTGTCACCAAAACTAAAAGCCATGTAACATCCTGTTTATTTCTGTGAACAAAGTTATTCTTTATTTTGATACTTAAGAATTACTTCAGACAGACAACTGTCTACTTTTACTCACTTCAAAGTCATCCTCATAATTCAGTGAAAAATCCTCAAGTCCTGTGTCTGGATTAGAGATGTGTGTATCTTTCACTTCCTAAATCAGAAAAATAAATTAAACCATTCAATAATCTTTCCCCAGAAAAATATCTGCCAAATCTTAGCATACAATAGATTAATAGTTGCTATTCTCAGATATTTCTACATTTTCAAACAAACATACAGCATGTACTTTATACAGATAAAGAAATTTATATTATCAAGTGCTAATTACTAATTAAACTAAGTACTAATTAAACACTAATAGTACAGGAAGAAAGACAGACCTCAAGCTTATCTTGGGAAGATCAACAGTTTTTCTAACAGTATTTTTATTCAAAAAGACATAAAAATTGCTGCATTGCCCACAATTTAATTGCTTGTGCTAACAACAAAATAAGATTGCCCCACCCTTTTGAGGACTAGAAAAAATTATCCCTACACCTAAGTTATACTGGAGGACTCAATTTTTTAATAAAATAGTGCAAATGATGAAACCAGGAAAGCAGAGCCATGGATGTAACAGGAGAATAGGATAATTTTTATACGTCAATTTTGCTTACATTGAATCCTCTACTTTATTTACATGGAATAATATTTATGGTATCCCTGCAATAACTTCAAACACATTTCCCTTCTCTAGATTATCAACTTGATTAAAATAATGCCATTTATTTATGGCAACTTACCTGGTTTCAACATTTGCAGTGCTTTATTAACAGACTGAATCCCACAGTATAATTTAAGTTTTGAGAATTTTCTCTGATTTATTCTGCCTGCAAGGTTGCAGGTAATCAGCAGTAACTAATTCATATAGCTTAATTCATATGATTTTTTAAAAAATCCTTATTCCATTTAGTCAGACCTCTTTAGTAACACACTCAAAGGTGAGTCTTTATTAGGCTTTAGGCTACTTTATAGTTTTTTTTTTACCTATGATCATCTCAGAAAATGCCTACAGAGCTGTCATCTTTATTCATAACACAGATGCATCTGGTATACATACAGTTTTTATACACTAAAAATCTCCACCTGTCAGTAGTTATCTGGGTTCCTAATTTAAAGAATTTATAAAGAAAAACAATATATTGTCAATATAAAGCAGGATTAGGAAGTCATGCTGGAATATCTTGAAGACTGTGGCATTTGGAGCAATAAATATAAAAAAAATTAACAGCATAGAATGCAAACCCTGGAATTTAAGTCTCTCTGTTGAGTCAGGTCTTAAGCAGGAATCTTACCCTCCTGGGTTGTTTCCTATTGCCAATGAAGACAGAAAAGATAATGGAAAAGGAGTCTAAATATAAGAGGACTGAACTGCCTATTTCTCTCCACAAACTACAAATGAAATTTGGATCCTCACCACAGAAATTCACACCTAAAGATGAGCTGAATCAGTAAGCTGAAAATATCACAAAACTTCTTAAAGTTTTTATGTTAGAGTTAAGCTGTATCTGCACAGACTGTTCCAAATAAACCCAAGTCTTTACAGCTTCAGACTTGCTGAAAATGTGGTTCTGTCTGCACATGTCCATTTAAAAATATTAAAATAAATAATTTCAAAATATAAAAATCATTTCCTCTCCCTTAGTTTTACCTCTTGTCTTGTGTCCATATTCTCTGTTTCAACAAATTTTCCTTTATCTTTTACAGTCCTATTAAAAAAGAAACAACAATGCTATTGGTTAACTCATAAGAAAGCAGTTCTGTTTCAGTTTTGGTTTTTTGGGATTTTGTTTTAGTAAAAAAAAAAAAAAAAAAAAGCTTTTTTCCTGAAAAGGAAAGAACAGTTGGAAATTTTCACTTAACTGAAATATTTCTACAAGTATTTTTATAGATCTCTGTGATACAAAAGGATAATGAAATAACCAAGTGATTAATGGCAAAGAATTGAGAAACTTTGTCCAAATGTAACACCTATAATTGCATCAAAAGGCAAGAAAAAGTAGTGAGAAAAAATTCATAACTCCACACATTTATTGCTTGTATTAATATCTGCAGCAAACCAGAGATCAAGATCAGGTTGGTGCAATATGCTCAAAAGCTATAAATCAAAGACTGATTTCAAACCTGGTTTTTCATTCAGGGGTCTTCTTTATGAGGACAATACAATCAGGGTCAGAGAGCAGAAACAAATCAACAACAAGCTTTGCTCCTCAATAATCTATTTGATTATTTCATAAGTAGAGAGTAAGCAGAGAGTATCATACTTCAAGAAGAGAATATTTTATTTCTTATGTGAGTATTTGTATCTACTGCTGTTGGGATTGACAAACACAGGAAAAGGAAACAATAAAAATTAAAATTTGGCTGGATCGTGTCATAACAAATTGGAGTGATTCAACACTAACTGTGCCTGAAGCAGAACCAGGGTTTCAGGACATCTCACCAAACCATACTGCCTTCCCTGCCATTCAGGAATGGCTAAAATCTTCTCCCAAGCTCTGCAAAAACAATGACTCAGCCACAGCCCCAGCAGCCTGAATATTCAGGCAAACAAACAACAAAACACTGCCTGAATATTCAGCACTGCTGACACAGCGGAGTGCAGCTGCCAGGTAGCATCCCAATGTGTGTATTCTGAAATATTTCATTTTTTAGTTTTGCACAGCATCAGACTTCCACAAATTCACTTCAGCCAAAGTGGTTTGTCCCAGGTTTAACATTAGTAATACTGAGCCAACACTGTTAATGACTCCACTGCCTGTCTCCCCAGAAGCAAACAAGCCAGACTTGTATTGAGCCAGGAAGCTAAATTAGGGTTTAAGAGTGAGGATTGCAACCAACCATGTACTCAGAGAATTAGACTTCAGAAAGTTGTGTAGCCTTGAGCCTTCAGCTAAGTGCTAGAATATACAGGAAAGTTCTCTATTGCTAGTAATAAAACCTAGAAATATAATCCCTGAGGGTATCTGGAATTTTTCTTTTCATATTCAACTGCAAACTTACTATATATATAAATATAATGTATTAGATATCATCTAGGATAGGAACTGAGTATTGATATTCAAATTAAACTAAACAACAGAGTCCGATGCAGTTCATCATGAACCTTACATGTGTCCACTTGACTAAATAGTGAATTTCCAGGTGGCAAAATTCAGCACATCTGTCTCCAAAACTAAGTGCCCAGATTAATATATTTGACTGAAAAATATTTCTTGTTACCCTAATGAAGAAAAATAATTAAAGGAATACAAATACATACATTTTTTTATCTGAATCATCTTAGAGGAAACACACAGATTTTTTTCTAATTGCTGTACTATTGGGCCTATGGAAAAAATTACATTATACCCAGATATGTGAGATTAAGAATTTATGCATATAGGTTTGGTGGTGACTGAATCTTAGGAGACACCATCTAGTATATAATTATCTTAAATCTCTGAATTTACCTTACAAGCTGATGGCTCATTTCTTCTTGAATCCTCTCCTCCTTTTTGTATTCACTGTTCTGTGAAATAAGTCACAATATTCATGAGTCAGAAATGCTGGCAGGGAATATGTATATGACCCTGTATTAGTAGTACTCTCATCAAACAGCAAAAAAGGTTGCTAATGAATTGTTTCAATTACAGACTATTTTTTATTTCAGTCATTGCTTGAAAGATGCTCTCAAAAACTGGCAGGGCCTAAGGGCTGACCTTGGAGGGCTGTGGCCAGCCTGTTCCAAAAAATTACAGTATGAGACTTTAACAGTATGCACTACAACTCACACAAACTGGATGGAGGGACAAAAACAGTCTCAGGCACTTTTAATCCTCTGTAGAGGGACTTGAATCTTAATTTCTGTATTATGAAGGTTTGCTTAAGTTTGGAAATGTATTCAATAGGTTGTTTAAGATAAAGGTCTTTGTCTCTATCCAGAAACAGAAAATAAAATACAACTCTGGGACAGAAACATTAGTGGGTGTGTTCTCTAACAGATACCTGAGTTCATTTCCAAGGAGTCAAACATTAAGCAAGCCCTTGATAGACTTTTGTTGTCTGCTGCAGTCAGTCAGTTTAGGAATCACTCATGGAGGGTCCCTACATTGAAAATTACTCATATTGTCACTAGAAAATGTATATTTGAACTTTTATTTAAGAAGTTTGTATATCTTCACTCTTTAGGCAACAGAAGAAACTACCCTAGACCATCTCAAATGCTGTATGTCTCATAAAATTAATTTGATTTTAAGTTACATATGACTACAGACTCCTTCTCTCAGTCTTGTTGAATAAATAGTTATAAAATTAGTAAAAAATGACAAATTATTGATTAAGTCTCTAGGATATAATATCATGCTCTGTATTAGAAATGTAAAAGATATTCTATGGCTTCAGAAGTAGAGGCAAACACCACAAATATAAAGGGTCTGTTTTCACCTGCCTACTTATGAGTTGGATAGTTGTGCTCCCTTCATAGACAACATAAACGTAGCCTCTATTAAATTTTTTTTGCTAAAAAGGCAGCCAATAAACTTTAATGGACCTCAAGAAAGAATTTTATGAATAAAATATGTTTCTAACATAAAGGCAATTTTTTTGTTCAAATTTTATGGAAGGAATCAATTCTGAATTAGCATACTTAAATGCAGATGTAGTGTTTTCATACACCACTTTAGCCTCAAATTTCAGAAAATGTTGACTTAAAATTCTACCAATTTTATTATTCCTCTATTAACAATATACTAAGAATTAAAGTAAGTGGTAAGGTAATGTTTTAGCAAAACCTACCCTTATATCATATTTCTTTCTTTCCTTTTCTCTACTTTTTACTCTCTCATCAGCTTCTGCTGCTGGGTCTTCTCTGCCTCCATGGGAAGGTTTTTCTTTAGATCTCTTTGATTTATGTTTTTCTTCCTCTTCCTTTTCATAATGTTTATGACTTTTCTCTTTAGAAAGTCTCTCTTTTTCTGCCCCAATAGAATGTTCTTTTTTTTGCCTGTGTTTTCTTTCTCTCTCTTTATCCAAGTCTTGATGTTTCTCTAACTTCTGCACATGTTCACCTTCTTCAACTTTGTATGCTAAAAATTTTTCAATTTTCTTTCTTAAATCATTATCCTGCAAAGAGGAAAATAATATTAAATGGTTAAAAAGTTCCCCAAGACCATTCTTTCTTCACAAATCTATCCATATTTGACCATTAAAATTATTGAATTTTAAGTACTTAATCTTTGTGCTACATGGTTCTTCCAGCCATTTTTTTAAATTTCCTATAATAACAAGTTTCAAATTATGACTGCACTTGAGATTCTGGTGCTTCTTCTAGGACAATGCACACTTTGCTACAGGAAATTATTTAAATTATATGTTCTTCACACAAAAAAGTAATTCTTATCTACTAGGTGGTCTGAAGTAGAATGTACACTCATCAATTACCCTTGTAATAAATGCATAAATAGCAGACGTAAACTTTTGATGTAACTCACCAAAAATGAAGAAATTTTTGCTACAAAAATTTTATTTAATGTTTACTTTAAAAAAGAGAATAAAATATGTCTTTAAAATCCGGTATCTGAGATATATTTTGTTTTTGTTTTGTACACTTGTCATCACCTTACTATCTAGGCATCTCTTGGATTTATTGGGAAATACAGTCTGATCCAGTTTCTTCATTATACTACAATTTTATCTTATTCTGTTATGGAAACACTTCACTAATTTCCTTTACCTTCAGTGCTTTATGTCTTCTTTCTCGCTCTTCAGTTCTTGTTTTCTCCTCCTCTAGAAAACAGATGTATAAATTAGGGAACAGATTTTATAATATTCCAATTCTGTACACAATTAACTCTAGCATGTAGAAAATAGTATTTTAGCAATTTGCTTTCTCTTACATAAGAGCTTTCTAAAAAGGAATCCTGTTGAAATTCTCTCTCCAAAGGTGGTTACACCTTCTTCTCTCCTAATGAATCCCTCCAGGTTTGTGTCATGCTAAGAGTAATGACACATGCTACTGATCTCAGCAATCACCCTGCAAGTGAAGGGATCACTCAGGACAGTGTCTAGGCACTGACCAACAATACCAGCGGTGTCCATCCTCTCTTCCGAGGAAGGGAAATAAGCATAAATCTTTTTAAATGCATCAAAATAAAACTAAGTTAAAAAAAATATTCCATAAAATACACATGCCAGTAGGTACTCACACCTGCCTGTTTTATCCTCTCTGCAAAGACGGGATATGGTTTCAGAGTATTCCTATCTAAATATCAAATATTTCCAAGTACAACAGCAACCCAAAGTTCCTTACCCAAACGATGCCTGATTTCTCTTCTTCTGTGATGTTCTGTATCTCCTCCTTCCAATGATTTCAGATAATTTTGTGGATCTGTTTGCTTTATCTCATATGTCTTGTGCTTTTTGTCTCGTTCTCTACCAGTCTCCCTGTCTTTATGTTTTAGTATGCTGTGTCTCTCCTCCCATGACTCTTGAACTTTGTGTCCCTCTCGGTCTCCTCTCTGGTGTTCTTTTTCCCTTTCTTTCTCTCTCCTTTTATCCCTGTCCCTTTCACTGGATTTAAACCTCTCTCTCTCTCTTGTTCTTTCCTTGCTCTTCTCTCTGTGTCTGCGTTCATGTCTGTTAGGGTCTGTGTCATGAACAGTCCTCTCTCTCTGCAGTTTCTTTTCTCTGTGTTTTCGGTCTTCATTTTGACTATCTGGTAGTAATGCCTGAAATAAAATTTAAAAATCTATCATTATAATTCAGCAATCTATTTTGATAGGACTATATTCATGTGGGGAAAAAAAAAGCCGGATTACTAAATATGTATGTAATTTCCTAAACTGTATTAAAATATTGATATAGTTCTAGGTTTACTTTGTAAACACTAACATTATGTCTGTTCTTATTGAAAAAAACTAATAAATTGAATAATAATAACACATACTGGAAAACAGCTTTTAAAAAATACAACACAAACATAATATAAATATCAATGATGTAACTGACTGCAGCCTGAATGTCTATTTGACCAGGGGATAATGTAATTAGGCAGTTTAAAAACACAGGACAAACATGATAGATAATTATAATAAATACAATATGATTTAATAATCATAAATACAATAGATAACATGTATTTTAGGAAAGTGAATAATATATATAAAGCAGAACTGTCATTTGGATTTGGGTGACCAGCAAATCACACCCCATTGACTGCTGTGTGATTACTGTAACAATGCATTATTTCCATTTTCCTAATTTAGAACAAAGAGTCGACTCTTTATGTTTTTAGACCACCAATAAATTCTAGTGCTGTAAGGCAGCTTAACATGAAGACTAGCAGAAATAAAATAAATCCACCTTTAGATGTTTCCTAAGTTCTTCTGCTTTCCAAGTATCTTCTTTGGTTCTTTTCTAGAACAGAAAATGCAGAAAAGGCTGAGTAACCAAATTGCAGAGAGGAGTGATGCCACCCTGTACTTTTAAAAGTTTTAAAGTTCTTTTAAAATAAGTTTTATATGCCTTCTGATGTTTACATATTTCTACTGGAGCTCTCACACACTGTTCATGTAAATAATGATTATTTTGCATTCTTCTTTGTTGAAGGAGAGAATTGATGGACTCTTGGTTTGACCAGTGTGGTTGGAGAGGTGGCAATTTCATTCTCCAATCCACTGTCACTTTTGGAATTCTATATATTGTGAGGTCAGAAATAAAAGTTACTTCCTTTTGCTCTTTTGATCTCAGTGTGAGTGCGTGAGTTATTTCGTATCGTGGTGAGACAAAGTAAATAATTTAACAATGAATCATATTTCTTAGGAAAGAATCAAGGTACATATGGCAAGTCTCACTGAAAAGATCATGCAAACAATAATTTGTTTTAGCTCAGTAAATCTCACCTTCCTAGACCTGGAAGAGGCCTGAAGCTCAGACTGCATGTGTAACTTGACTGAACATGAAATATTTGTATGTAGCACTGAAGAAGAGCAAAAAGATAATGAAACTAATCAAAGGACACATGATTGTTTCACAAGAGTGCTCTAAATAAAATAAGTTATATTTCTTCTATCTGCATTTGCAGAGCTCCTCCACTTGGCTGCTTGATTGCTGTTACAGAGACTAAATAAAAATTCATATTGTTTGAGATTACTAAGGGAAAGGAGGAATTAGAATCTATTGAATATTTTAACTAGTTCATTGAAGGATGAAGACCATATCCAATGTGACATGATCAAGCTATCCTTATTCTCAAATTTAGATTTGGCAAAAGCTACTGAAGATTAACAAAATAATCACTGATAAATATTGTAATGATGAGCTGCATTGGTGGAAGAAAATAAACATAGGGTGCCAATTTTTTTTTTTTTTTTTTGTTAATTCATTATATGGAGGCAATATTTTAACAGCATATATATATTTTAAACTATTCTACTATTCTACATGAGAAAGATCTTGTCTTTTCAAATTTGGATTTTAAAGAAGATTGTAGTGGACTGGTAAACTTCTGAAGTCAATGAGCAGTCCCAAGAAGGCAGTATTCATATCAAATATAGTGTCCTTTCAGTTTAGTTTCTTCTGATACTTAAAAAATGGGGAAAAAACAAAGAATGTAAATATTTACTACTGCAGAAAGTCAGATGAGAAAGTAAAAACAAAGCTGATAATTTTCTTAAGTCAAGATTTAACAAAGCCTAAGAAACTCAACAGAACTTGTGTGAAAGCCACCTGGAAGGAAAGATATGGATGGGAAGAGAGCAGAATGTTCAAACAATAACTGATTTAGAATCATGTTTTGGATTTAGACAATATTTGTGTATGTATCAGCAAACAAAGAATGCTAATGATGTTAATAGCATAAAATCAGCATGACCAACAGACAACATCAGATGAGGCAGCTTCAGATTCATTTCCAAACTGAGGCAAAAAGCACACAGCACACATTCACAGGTGGTTCTCTGGCAGCCAATAATATATATGTCAGTTTTCTGGAGTCTGCAGTTTTCACCTCCCCACCACAACCAGAAGCTGTTGCTTTTGTGTACAATGATTTTCCACTTAAATATCTGGTTTTGCAGAAGTATAATAAACAAACAGGGGAAATGAGATATTTTATAAAGGGTCAAGTCCTTTGTCCCTCTAAGTAAATGTCTACACAATAATGTTTCAAACAAACTTTCAAAAGATTTATTGAACTTTCTCACCTGTCTGCTAATTTAGAAGTACTTATATACTCATTTAATTCCAGATTAAGATTTGTTACTTAAATGACACTGGGGTTTATCTTAATTCATCCACCTGAGAGCATTCAGCTCATATGAAATGCCACAGATTTACTGAACTCAAAAAAATCTATGAACGTTTTTACCAGTTACGAATCTGTCCTTTAATCTAAAGATAAAGCAGTCAGTGGAAAAAGAAACCTTGTTAGTTTAGATAAATTTTGAAAGAGATCAACAGGGGTTTCTTCACTCACAACTAGAAAGATAAGAGATATTCAGAACATACTGTTTTTATCTAATTTAACAACTCAGTTCAATGTGATTCTAAATAACAAGACACAGAACAGAAAGACAAAATTCTGTGTTTAGTCTTTAAGCCAGAGAAAAGTACTTTATTTTTTGCATGTAAACATTTATCTTCCTTATTTCCAGAAAGAGTCGCCAATTTGAGAGCCCTCAAATAGGTAAGAGCAGGGCTGACAGGAGCAGCAAAAGGAGGGTTCCTCACTCAGGGTGGCTGCTCCTGCCTCTGGCCCTTTGGCACCCTCACAGCGACACGCCTGAGATATTTCAGATCAAATGTCACTTTTCCATCACAGCTCACTGCTTTTGCAGGTGAAAACGTCACACAGGAATTGATGCTAGCACGCGCGTGTGGGGTTGTTCCCTTTATTCCGCAGTCCTACAAACCTTCAATAATTTAACACCTTAATGCACAAGTTACGTGTGCTCCCGAAGAACTAAAGCCCAGCAATTAGCAGGAGCATCAATAATTAAACACGCTTTTATCTAGGACGTGAAACAAGGGGTATTTCCGCAGCCAGCTATCCCCTTCTGCCTCGGGATAAGGAATTCCCGGCTTTGGCGGGGGGGATTCACCGACAAACAAAGCCGCCGGGCCGGCCCCGGCAGAGCCGCGGGGGTTCTGGGGGGCAGCAGGCGAGCCCGCGGTCCTGCCCGCGGTCCTGCTCCCGGTCCCGCCCCTCACCTTGTCCCCCTCCATGGGGCCGCAGGCCGCGTCCGCCGCCGGGGCCGCTCGGGCGCCGCGCGCGGGCCCGCCCCGGCAGCCAGGGCCGGCAGCCGCGCGCCGAGCGATGGATGCGGCGCGCTGCCGCGCTGTGCCCGCCCCGGCAGCCAGGGCCGGCAGCCGCGCGCCGAGCGATGGATGCGGCGCGCTGCCGCGCTGTGCCCGCCCCGGCACGGGCAGCCCCGGGCTCCAGCGGGGCGGGGAGGCCCGCCTGCGCCTCTGGCAGCCGACCGAGACACGGCTGGGGTCTGCCCCGGTTCCGGGCTCCTCGGTGCGAGAGACAAGGAGCGGATCCAGCGGAGGGCAACCAAGGTGATGAAGGAGCAGCTCTCCTTCGAGAAAAGGCTGAGGGAGCTGGCTCTGCTCGGCCTCAAGGAGAGACAAGTGACAAGGGGCCTCGTAAATGTGTGTAGATATCTATGGCAGGGTGCCAAAAGGATGGACAGGGCTCTTTGGGTGGTGCCCACCAGCAGATGAGGCAATGGGCAGCAACTGATGCACGGAATTTCCACCTGAACGTGAGGAAGAACTTCATTACTGTGCAGGTGACCGTGCACTGCAACAGACTGCCCAGAGCTGTGGAGTCTCCCTCACTCCACAGGAGTCTCCCTCACTCCTCACTCCCTCATTCCAGAACCACCTGAGCACAATCCTCTGCCGTGTGCTCTGCTTGAGCAGGGAGGTTGGACCAGATGACCCACTGGTTATATTCTAATTCAATAACTGTAGTACATCAATCGCCTCTTTGCTGAAAAGAGGTGACTTAATGACTGGTGATGGAAAGACCAGATGACCCACTGTGCTCCCTTCCAGCCCGACCCATTCTGTGGTTCTGAGCTGGTTCCGCGGCTCAGGGCTCAGACCCCGTGAGTTGGGGATGGGGGACACATCCCCCCAGCCCTCAAGCACTGTTGTTCTCCTCTGCAGCTCTGACTTATTCTACGATCGTGAAACCATCCCTCATCGTGGCTGACTCACTTTTAATAAAGTTGTGCACAATTACTGCAGGGCAAAAAAAACGTTAAAGGGTGCTATGCTTAATCTGCCACTTAACCAGATGCTGGGTAGAGGTAGGTATGAAGAACAGTTGTATAAATAAATTAAAATGCTAATAATCTTCCCCCAGTGACAGGTACCAGAGCCGATTTCTGCAACAAAGCACAAGTGGCAGCTCACCAAACACACCTGGAATGAGCTCGATGGTTGCCTGCAGGAAAGGTGTGTGCCATTTCACAGCAAATATTTACAACATATTAACACGTGCAATTTAAAAGACCAAGTGAAAATTCCTCTGGATTCTTTTAACTTTGTTCCCTATTTTCAGAGTGCAAAAAAAAAAAAAAGTTAATATGTAACTGCTACTGCTAATATTGCTGTTTGTAGAAAACTGACTACTGGGGGCGGGAAGGAGGGAAGCAAGGGAAGAGGTATTTTTGCATTTTAGAAACATTCTTGCCATAGTTCAATGGGAGTTTGTGGCTGCTTCAGAGATAAAATTTAACCCCTTATACTTGGCTGTAGTCAATTGACAAATACATATAAACTCGTGATACCTTGCCTTGTATTCATATTTCCAGAATAAATTAAGAATGCTGTGAAAGTTTCCCCTTGTCCAAACTGTGAAATATTTTCCTTTCTCATGTAGCAGAAAAGTAAATCAAGCATGCAATTATGAGCAAAAACACCCCATCTTGATATTTTCTTGAACAAAACAAAACAAAAAAACCACACAAAAACCCAACCAAGAAAAAAAACCAAAAAGCCTAAACACACCATTAAATGTAAGTATTACTTTTAAGAGCTAAATTGTATCCACTAAGTATAAACATCTATGGATACTAAAATATTTATAAGCCTTCTAATGGATTATTTATGTGGCTTTGGCACATAATTTTTTTCAATTGGCAGAACAATTATAATCTATAAGCACCTGGTTTGGGGAAACCCCTGATTTCAATCCAGGCAGACTGAGAGCAGCCCTGCCCAGAAGGATTTGGGGGTGCTGGTGGGTGAGAGGCTGGACATGACCCAGCCATGGCACTCCCAGCCCAGAGACCCAAACGTGTCCTGGGCTGCATCCAAAGCCCCGTGGACAGCAGGGCAGGGAGGGGATTCTGTCCCTCAGCTCCTCTCTAGTGAGACACCAGTTGGAATATTGCATCCAACTCTGGGGTGCCCAGGAGAAGAAGGACATGGACCTCTTGTAGTGAGTCCAAACGAGGCCACCAAGATGATCAGAGGGATGGAGAACCTCTCCTACAAGGGAAGGCAGGGAGAATTGGGATTGTTCCTCCTGGAGGAGAGAAGGCTTTGGGGTGACCTTATTGTGGCCTTCCAATACCTGAGGGGAGCCTGCAAGAAAGCTGGAGAGGGACTTTTTACAAGGTCATGTGGTGTCAGGACAAAGCATGCAAACTAAAAGAAAGTAAGTTTAGATTAGATATTGGGAAAAAATTCTTTACAGTGAGGGTGGTGAGTCACAGGAACAGGTTGTCCAGAGAAGCTGTGGATGCCCCATCCCTGGCAGTGTTCAAGGCCAGATTGGATGGAGCTCTGAGCCACCTGGACTAGGGGAAGATGTCCCTGCCCATGGCAAGAGAGTTGGAACTAGATGATCTTAAAGGTCCCTTTCAACCCAAATTTTCCTATAATTCTATGATTTTATATTTTCCTCCCCGAACAAATAAAAATGTGCATAAAAGCCATCTTGGATTAGCTCAAAGAGCTCTTTAGCCACAGTGGTGACAGTGTATAAACAAATGGAACTAAGCATCTGCTTAGGAAGGGATCTCTACAGAAATGCTGTCCTATGTAAAGAGACTGAAGGACAAAATAACCTTTTAACTGGATTTTATTTTTAACAACAATATAGCAAATACCTATAACTAAATAAGCAAATATGACAGTAATGCCAAAAACTGGATAGAAGATGCAGGTTTTTTTCAAGTTCTGTTTCTCTTGTCTACTCTTTAGAACATGCATCTGTATGTATTTACTGGAGAAAAAAAAAGCAGTGAAAAATACCAGTTTAAAATACCAAGTTTGGCTGCTAATAGCTATTCTTCTTAGCCCTATGATAGTATACTAGTCAGGCATCTCTGAGATGAGAAAAAATATAGATGTGGGAAAGTGCCACTAAAGGGTTTGGAAAGAACTTTTCAAAGTTTTCAAACTTTTAAATCTAGGGGTCAAACTGAAGTTTAACTGCTGCATGAGAATACAAGGTAGAATAGCACCTTTGGAATAACAATACTAGAATTTGTGCCTGCCTCAATGTATTCATCATGTATTAAAATAAACTACAGTACGTCACCAATGTAGTGGAGAAAATTAATACATCAGTGGTCTGACTGCTTTTACAAATGTGTGTTAGACTCAAGTGAATACAGGCAATAAAATGACACATATCTGTTGTGTAAAGCCAGCATAAAAGGATGTCCTAGATTTTCTTTCCAAGAAAAGTGTTGTAAATGTTTTTTTGGTAGCCCTGAGAATTTTATTACAATTTTAGCATTTACAGGTTTTTCTCTTGTCTGGCTTGGTTCATGTATCTCCTTCTCCACTTGCACTGTTATCTGAAAAACAGGAAGATAAAATAGCACAGCTTTTTATATTCTCTAGTAAGTAGCTTTGTTTGTTTGTTTGTTTTGTTTTTATCTTCCAAAGTTCCTCTAAGCTTGTGAAGCAGCATTGTATTTTTCTTCACCTCTATGGAATGACACATCACAGTATTAGACCAAAAAGTTAAGAAAATATTACCCCTCAGAGGGACAACAGGACAACATGGCAACTTTATATCAGGCTTAAAAATCAAGACTCTTCTATTGTTAGGGAAAAAGGAAAAAAAAAATTTTTTTTTTTTTTTTTTTGAAGAAATAAATTTGTTTGGATTCTGTTTTTGTTGGGTTTCCTTCTCCTCCCTTTTTAACCACTTTTTCCTGAGGCCTTTTGAAGTTGAGAAGAAAATTTAAATATTTCTATCAGCAGACGTGCATAAATGATCTGCAAAGTATCAAAATGCTTTTGTTAGTCCTCCAGGTTCATAAATAGAAACAGGAAAAATGTGGATCTCTGCAGTAAAGCTTTTGTCTTTTGAGCTTGTAAGAATCCAATGAGGGGGAAAAAGGAGACTATAATTATTGTGAAAACTTGTAAAGAAACACATCTTAGTGGAAAGTATTTCTGTCTTCAGGAACAATAAATATTTGAGGATCTTGTTATGAGAGTACAATTTATGCATTCAGTGAAACTGAAGCCAGCTTGGCTGATAGCAGGGATCAAACATACATAGTTTTTCTCCAAAGAACAGAAGCTCAGGTATGTTAGAGTCTTTAGGCTCTTCTTTGTGCTATATATTAGATAATTCAAAGCAGACAAAAAATATTAGTGGTCTATGCTAGATAACCTAGAGCAGGTTGAGAGAAGTGCATAAAATCAAGCACAGAAGTAGAGAGTATTCCATGATGAGAATCTATTAGGATAAAATTTCATGTAAATTATATTTTCATTAATAATTCAATTTTTTTAAGGATGATGTTCCTTAGCAAAAATTCCCAGATTTCTATTCCATAAAGAGTTCTCTTCAATGGCAAAAATGTCTAGAGAGAACCATTAGACTAAAATAACGCTGTTGGGTAAAACTAGGTGTAATACCACATATTGTCCTGTTACTGAAAATGGTCATGAAGTAACAATTAAAATTGCTTCCAAAGCATGTTTTCTTGTGTGAACTCCAAAGAAGTTGGGAAAATGATTTTTTTTTTTTTTAGCACATAATCTGAATTTTCCCAATTTGTCTTATGGTCAAAAATTATGTATAAACAAGATCTTTCAGGAAGTTATTTGGGAGAGTAGTGCTGGTATTTACTGGAAAACAAATCATCATGGCAATCTGATGGTGATGCAATGTAAAGATAAACATAGGATGACACTACTTTGCAATGAAAGATATAGCATTTGAAAGAGCAAAAAGGAGAAGCAAACACATATGGCTAAGAATGGGTATAAGGGGATGTTGCTAACAAAAAG